CTTCTCCCCCCCCCCCCCGCCCCCTCCCCCCCCCCAATGATGTTCTTTATTTTTTTGCCTCCCTCTCGTCTTGATCTTCCCCGCCATCGAATGGTTATGTTCCTGGATTGTCGCGACTTTCACGGGAAGGAAAGCCCCATCACGATGGGAGCGTGTCAGGCTGAAGTGCCCCAAAATACAGATACCACTGGTATCAAATGCCAACATAGAACTGCACTGGCTGGGTGCATCCACATACCATCGAGCTTGTTCTACCCAAGGTTCTGCGCAGCTAGGTGGTTGGGGTGAGGACTGAGACGCGGAACACGGGAGGGACTTAGGGGTCTTGTTGCGCGAATTTTCGGGCCCGGGAGGAGAGGGAAAACCTAAGAGCAAACAAAACACTGCGACAACAATGGTGCTCAGCACGTGTTGACTGGCGCAAGACGTGGAAACGTGGACCTTCCAGCCTTCCAGCCCCAGGCTTGGCTGGCCGCTGGCGGGATGTATGTCAATAATAAACAAACACATGGGACTTCGGCGCGGCTCCACGACACACGCTGGCCCGAGAAGCGCGACACCTCCCCCCCTCTTCTCTCTCACACACACGCGCACACTGCTTGACCCTAGTCTGCCGTCTGCATTCCCATTCTCAGATTTGCTGCATACGGATACGGATACAGTAGGCGTGTTGGGGGCTATTGTGGATTGTCCAGGATGCCCGGCTTTTACCGTCAACTCGAAGGAAAACCCTGACGAAGTTGAAGATCATGGAGCCGCATGACCAGTATGGGTGTGCTCAACTTGGATACCCTACCTGACCCAGGGAGGAAGGGCCTCCAGTCATCTGTGTTGAAACTCTGACTGAACCCCATACCCCGACTCTCAAAGAGATACGCAAGAATTGGAGAAGCAATTCGCCATCGCGTGCAGACGGGTTTTGGTGACGGGTTTTTTTGTTGTGGTTTCCGTTGTCCGTCATTGTTATCATTCCGCTGAGGTAAGGTGCTACAGACGTGATGCGCCCGCGTCCTCGGATCCAAGTGTAACATAAGATACCGTACCTACCTAGGTAAGGTACCTAAGGGAAGGTAAGGTAGGTACCTACATAAAGTAAGTCTCGTCGCGTCCAGATTCGCGGCCAACTCAACCAGGGACACGGGGAGGCGGGGGACCTAAGGGAAGGGACGGGACGGGGCCTACAGGGAGTCAAAGCACCCAATCCAGGGAATGGAACCCACTGAGTACCCTTAAGGTAGACATCCAATTGTGAGGACTCTGGCCGTTGGCCCGTTGTGTTGTTGCTCTGCCGTCAACGCTAGCTCCCTGTTCGGCCAATAGCGTCAATAACATAACACCTCAGGGCAGAAACCATCAAGTCGTCGCCCGCGACTTTCCCTGAAGCAAGCCCGGGCTGCGTGGTACCCACCTTACCTTGCCCACCTAGGCACCTTACCTTAGATAGGTAGGTACCTTGCCTTAGGTAAGGTATGTACAGTGTAGACAGGTACTGCCTGCCACGTCCAATGTTGTTGCTTCCATGTTGCTTGCTGCTTGTACTGGGCGGCCACCCACCACCACCATTTGGCATCCGACACCTTCCCGTCCCTTACACCTTGGGTCAACCCCGACTTACCTCACCGTCCCGTCCCATCGTCCGCCGTCGACGCCTTTCTCTCCGCCGTGCTGTACCTTACCCTGCTGCGACCTCTGCACCGTGGACCCAGAGTTCTACAGCTTGTATCTGTACACACGCTCACGATACCCACGTCCGCACTTTGCACGACGACATTTCTGTTTCTCTCGTTCTGCCCGCTTCATTTATTTAATCGCATCCGAACAGCTTTACGACTGGTCTCTGTCTTGTCTTTTTGACGGTGACGACTCACCTTTTGCGACCATCCCGAGGGGAAAGCATGCGATTGATGCCGAGTTGAGCGCCACCATCAGGGATAAGGTGGTGAATCGTTTGCCAGCGCCAATCCTCCGAACGACTTGCCCACCGCCGAATTCACTCTCGCTTGCGCCCGACGTCACGATAAACACATCTTCCATCAATTGCCTGCAACTTTGTCTACCCGACGTGCGACTGCGACGCCTCCCGCCCGCACAGGCTCGGCTCCCCGCCATCTCCCCCGACGCTCGTCCCAGCCGCCTCGCCCGTCCTCGACCTGAATCTCTACACTGCCCTGGCCCGCGTTCTCTTGCCGACTTCACTTCCACAACCCACAATGACGCTCCCGAGCGATCCACCAGCAGTTGTCGCTGCTTCCGCTCCAGCAAAGCGACCAGTAGCTGAGACGAATACCTCCGCGATCGTGACCCCTGCTCGCTTCTCGACGCCGCCCCCTCCCTCCGATCGTGGTCATCTGGAGAGTCGCCAACATTTGGAAAATGCGAACCAGCGGAAAGTCCAGCATATCAGACGCCCTAGCGAGCCATCTCGGGGCACTGCTTTTGATGCCGATGCTGTCGACCACGCCTTGCTCCGAGAGATTCATCATCGATCGCAACGGGAGAGCACCCCAGGTGCCAGCCCGCATCGTAAGCGCCAGAGGATAAACGGTGACAGGTGCGTGTGCAGCAACACCACACGATGCAAGAACTCTTGCTAACATCTGATTCATAGATTCATTCCCACGCGCTCTGGTCAAGACCTCCAAGCAAGCTTTAGTTTATTGCACGAAGACGGTTCACCAGCGACTCCCTCAAAGCAAAAGAAGCGAACTCCACACGGAGAGCTTCATTTTCAAAAGAGTGAGTCAAAATCGGGCCAGCTCGTTGCGGCACTTTCATCTAACGCTTTTCAGCCGAGGAAGCAAACCGCACATTTTCGACGTTGCTCCGAGCTGAGCTCTTCGAGGGCTCAATACCTCAAGCGACACCGTCGACACTGTCACCGGAGCATTCGTTGTCCACCGCATCTCACTCGGCCAACATTCATGATGCCACGAGATCGCGCACGCCGCCAAACAATGCTTCTGCGGCTTCTCTACCATCCACTCTGACCCCTTCAACCCCTCACAAGAATTTGTTCTCCTACATGTCACCCCGGCAACTAAGCAACGCAGGCCACCTCACGCCGTCGAGAACGCCACAAAGTCGGCACGGCCCCAATCTAGACACCCGCTCTGAAATCTACAGCCTCTCTCCAGTTCGTTTCAATAGCCAACAGATGCTCCTCAGCCCACGTCGGCAACCCCGCGCGGTCAGCAAAGTGCCTTACAAAGTATTGGACGCCCCCGACCTGGCGGACGACTTTTATCTGAACCTGGTCGACTGGGGCAGCGCCAATGTGCTGGGAGTCGGTCTTGGGTCCAGCGTGTACATGTGGAACGCGCAGACCAGTAGAGTCAATAAGCTGTGCACCCTCGAGGATGACACGGTCACCAGCGTATCGTGGATCCAGAAGGGAACGCACATCGCCATTGGGACGGGGAAAGGATTGGTTCAGATTTGGGACGCAGAGAAGACGAGGCGATTGAGAACAATGACTGGTCACACCGCCAGGGTAGGCTCGCTGGCCTGGAACACCCATATTTTGACATCTGGTTCTCGCGACCGCCTCATCTACCACAGAGACGTTCGCGCTCCGGATCAGTGGTTGCGGAAACTTGTGGGTCACAAACAGGAAGTGTGCGGCCTGAAATGGAACTGCGAAGATGGGCAGCTGGCCAGTGGTGGTAACGATAACAAACTGATGGTATGGGATAAGCTTTCGGACACGCCACTCTGGAAATTCTCGGACCATACCGCTGCCGTCAAAGCCATCGCATGGTCACCGCACCAGAGAGGGCTTCTGGCATCTGGAGGTGGAACTGCTGATCGCAGAATCATTTTCCACGACACCGTCCGTGGCACTGTGATCAACGAGGTGGACACGGGAAGCCAGGTCTGCAACATAGCGTGGTCCAAGAACTCCAACGAAATCGTGTCGACCCACGGGTACAGCCAAAACCAGATCGTTGTCTGGAAGTATCCGTCAATGACGCAGGTGGTCAGTCTCACCGGTCACACGTATCGTGTTCTATATCTTGCGATGAGCCCTGATGGCAGAGTCGTCGTGACGGGCGCCGGTGACGAAACGCTGCGTTTTTGGAACGTGTTTGGCCGGCGACCGGGAGCTCGAGAAGATAGCGACGGGGGCAAGCTTGCTGACTGGGGCATCATCCGGTAACAGCCAGAAGCATCGACGTCTGCTGCCGCTTTGCCCCGTCGCGGATACGCATTGGCGAACTACATTAATGACATATCCGTTTGCGTGGCTTAGGAGGTTAATATGGCTCGGTTGAGAGACGTGGCGGAATGGAGCGAGCAATCGAATTCTCATTTCTTTTTCTTTTTTGGTTTCTCGGCGGGGGAACTGGTTATGGGGTCACGAAATACCCTGCTACCGGCTGCGTTATGTGCATGGAAACGGCGTCACGACGGGAAGGCTGGGACTCTTGTTGTTTTGGGATTGTGCATGGGCTTCATGGCATTAGCTTCATGGGAGGAAACGAATGGCTGCTCAAAGGCCTATGAGGAACGGATGGGGAAAATGGAGCGGACACGAATCGCGCGAGCGCAGCAGTATCTATTCCCATATCATTCAATAGGGGCTAGGGCATGGCTTGTGTCAAGTTCCATCGCAGAATTAACAAATACTCCTCAACGTACCGCGAGGCGGAAAGTGAAATTCGACGTGACTTTGATGCAGAAGTTTGACACGTTAAAAAAAAGAAAAAGAAAAAAAAGAGGGTGGGAGGATGAACCTAAATAATCATTCTGAACAGCCAACAGTTCACACCGTCGTTGTGCCCCGTATAGTGCTTTCATACAAGCATATCATTTGCATCTATTAACTTCGTATAGAACCATCATTCCAAAGGAATTGCCTTCCTCTCCCTAGCTACGTCTCTGGCCCCGCCATCGACACCAGAGGCTTCTGCCTGGGCAGGCAGCTCCTCGCTCAGCAGCGGGATCCCATCTACCCCACGTGCGCCGGCATTCGTTTTCTCCTGGTTATCCTCATTTTCGTGTTGAAGGGCGGAATCAATCTTGCCGTCATCTTCAACGCCGGAGGATAGTTGCAGCTCGCTGGGCGCGGTCCCATCCGGGTTCGGTGTGATGAGAGGGGAATGGCCGGCCATTTCCGGTGTATTCTGCCACTGCTTGACCTCAGCTCTGAGCGACTCCAGCTCCTTCTGGAAGCGTGTTCCAAACACATCAATGTAGTAGGTTGCTCCGTTGTAAACACTCCATGTGAAGACGATCATCAGAAAACCGGCCGACGCGTATCTGCTCGCGAACCAAATGGGACAAGGGAGCATCGTCAAGACCGCATATGAGTACTGGATCAGCATGAATGCCGCTTCTTGCAGGGAGTCCGGGAGCGAAAGCACCAGCTTGCCTATCCAGCTTTTTGAGTACGACTTTCGCAGCCATGTAAAAGAAGTAGGCCTGCCGGCCGCGATCTTCTCCCGCCGCCGGACGGTGATGAAGAAGTAGTATGACAGTTGCCAGACAGCGTAGGGGATGGAGCTCCACGCTAACATGGACACCACGTTTCCATAAGCAGTTGGTGAGCCGGCTGGAGAGTGCTGGATGGTCCATGTCGCGGGGAACCGGACAGATTTCATCTCTTCAGGCCATAAGTGAACTATGCAATGGAGAGTTGCGCAAGGCATAATGTGGATGAAGAGAGAGGTGACCTTGTCGAAACTGTGGAAAACCAGCGAGTTTCTCCACATGATGATGGCGACAGCATTGTTGCCAAAGGCCAGACAATAGACGGACAGGAAGAGTCGTTTCGAGCCAGGAAAGACCCAAATGCTGAGCATCAGGAGGAAGTTGACAAAATAGCAGAGGTCGGCCAGGAAGTAGTGGTATCCTCGGCGATGATAAGTGAAGTAGCGGATGGGCATGAAGTATAGGACCTGGACCGAATACCAGAGATGGAAGTATTCGGGGTAGCCACCCATGAGTAGTCCGCTGGCGAAGATGTTCATGACGCCGCAGATGAAAGAGACCTTCTCTCGCATGGTCACCACTCTGGTGTCGTTCCACTGCTTGCCGAGCTTATCGACGCTGACGCGCATGCGCTTCCTGTATCTCTCCAACTGTTCTTCGGCGGTGGGAACGCGACGCCTCCACTCCTCTACCATGCGCTCTCGCGCGTGCTGGCTCTTATTCCTGAAAGCATCTCTCGACTTCCGAACCTTCTGTGTCTGGGCGGAAATGCCTTTTTGAAGTTTCTCGAGCTGTTGCGGCAGCGCGAAGTTATCGAGGAGGTCGAGCATGGTAAGGCGGTCGAGGGGCGGGAAGGGGTCCCAGTCTTCGTGGTAAGAGCTGCTGCCCGAGAAGGAAGGATTCCTCGAGAGCCTGGGGCTTCCCGGGTTGGTAGGGGCCATGGTGGGCGTATGGAGGCCATCGTGATCAGGCGGCGAAGAGGCGAAAGACGACGAGTGCGCCTCGGTGTGATCAGGGGTGTATGCTGCGTCGCTGTCGGTATGCATGTCTTCGCCCTTTGCAGTGGGTATGTCCACCGGTTTTGGCTCTGCCATCTTGAGGCGATATGTTGGGATGGCCGTTTGAGTATCTACGGTGCGAAGGAGACAAGGAGGTTTTATCGACAGGTTGGAAACGAGACTGTTCGGGAGGTAGGTAACGTTGGGTCAATGTAAGGGACAGCTTCAGGCGGCGCTGAGTTGGGCCAGTCTGGATGGTATACCAGGTAGGTAGCTGGCCGACCTCGTAGCTTGGGCGGCAGCGTGACGACCTAGGCCGTGCTAGGGATTGGCGGGGGATGCGAGCGACACAGACCAAGGCGGGCTCGTGATGCAGGCAGCGTGAAGGTGGGGAAACACATCTAGAACCCGTTGAGTTGGGGCAAGGAGTAAGGCAGCATGTGTCAACGGCTGACCGCTCCGAAGGCAGGACAGACGGGTTATGTGTGTACATTCCATGCATGCAAGCTGGAACGAGTTGTCGAGACAGGGATTCACTCTGAGATGTCTACGTCACATGGCAGGGCGGTAGATACTGCTACCGCATTTTACTTTGCTTCAGGTACCTGCTCTGTGGAGAGAGTTCGCTGCTGGCCCGTTCCATATGGCTTGATAGGTATCTCATTGCCCCGGATACTTGGGCCACGCACTCTGCCCTACGACTAGACCTGCCCGCCATACCTAGTACTTACTTCGTGCACCACTTGGCCGAGATGCGTTGGCAGCTGCGTCTAGCCCGTAATCTGTGCAGGTGTCGTTGGCCAAGCTTGTGGTTGGTTGGTTGGTTCACCACGTTGAGCACCTGTTGAGGGGACTACACTAGATGGGTGTGAACTTGGTGCAGAGTGGGCTCGTGGACCCGAAGTGGCTTCCGCACGCCGTGGCACGGTACCTAACGTACCTAGACGGTACGCAGCAAGGCGATGCTGACATAATCATGAGATCCTAGATCACGTGGTGCCAGCCTCTGGCGCCTGCCCCGTAAAGTGGCTCGAGCTCTTGTTGCGCGCCTAATTTGGCAGCCTCAGTATGGCCCGCATCCTACAGCCCGTCGCGTCCAGACAACCAGACGCGCGTGGGGAAACTCAGTCGGCCATCTGGACGAATATCGCCAGACGCAACACACGCTTGCCTGCTAGAGTGCCTCCCCGAATGCGCCTGGGCAGCCAGAGGCCCCTGTTACTTGATCAACTCAATCCCGGCTTCACTTGTTGCCACCCTACAGTCGAGCCACACCACACGGCTGTCTTTACTCTTACCTTTCCGCGCGCCGATTCGCGTTTGCGACGAGCCTCACATCAACTCGCCTCATCGTCGGGAAACTCAACGCCGCCCGTCGCGATAGTCGCGACAACCGTTCAGCAAGATGGGAAAGCTCATTCGTCTTGAGCTCTTCAGTATGCTCAATACGGTCTTGATTTCCCCCCTTCTTGCGCGCGCGCTGACACTTGTCGCCAGACTTCAAATCCTACAAGGGCCATCATGTCCTGCTTTTCGGCGACTCCTACTTTACATCCATCATCGGACCCAATGGATCTGGAAAATCCAATTCGTAAGTTCGCTTCTCGTCATGCTCCCAGAAACTCACCGACTGACGGGTTGCCACTGTCAGCATGGACGCGATCTCCTTCGTCTTGGGTATTAAATCATCGCACCTGCGATCGGCTCATCTAAAGGACCTTGTCTACCGCGGCCGCGTTCTCAAGACTTCCAAAATCAACGATGACGGCTCCGCAGAGGCTAATGGGCAGACGAATGGCTACGCCAACGGCGACGAAGACGACGTGTCGCACAAAGCCTCCCGAACCGACCCAAAGACAGCCTGGGTAATGGCCGTCTACGAGGATGACGCCGGCGACGAGCAAAAGTGGAAGCGCTCCATCACGAACCAGGGTTCCAGCGAGTACCGCATCAACGACCGTGTCGTCACCGCCCAGCAGTATAACGAGGCCCTTGAGACTGAGAACATTCTCATCAAAGCCAGAAACTTCCTTGTCTTCCAGGGTGACGTGGAGGCCATCGCCGCTCAATCCCCTCAAGACCTGACAAGGTTGATTGAGCAGATCTCTGGGAGCTTGGAGTACAAGGCCGAGTACGAAAGATTACAGACGGAAGCCGAGCAAGCCGCGGAAAACCAGAGCTTCCAGCTCCACAGACGGCGTGGTATCAATTCCGAGATCAAACAGTATCAGGAGCAGAAGAAGGAGGCCGACAACTTTCAGAAGAAGACTGAAGAGAGAGACGAGGCCATCGTGAAACACGCCTTGTGGAAGCTCTACCACTTCCAGCGGGGCATGGATGAGTCTTCCGAGAAGATTCACGAGCACCAGCAGAACCTACAAGAGTTCCAGCGTAATGTGGAGTCATTCAGACGAAAGCTCGAAGCCGCTCAGAAGGAGCAGCACGCGGCGTCCAAAGAAGCTCAGGGTGTGGAGAAGGCCATCAATGCGAAGAAGCGCGAGTTTGACGAGTTGGAGCACAAGTTGATTCCCATTGATGCAAAGATCGAAGAGAGGACCCGCAACATCGAGCAGACCCGCTCGCGTATAGAACCAGTTCGTAAGGACCGCGACAAGCAAGCTGGGCTCATCAAGGAAGATGAAAACAGACTCAAGACGCTCGAAAAGGCCCAACAGCACTTCGAAAAGCAGCATAAGGAGCGCATGAAGAAGACCGGCAAGGAGCTGAGCGATGCTGACCGCAAAGAATACAACAACCTGCGAACTCAGGTTATATCAAAAACTGCTGCCAACCAAGCGAAGCTCGACAATCTGATTCGGCAACAAAAAACGGATGAAGTCACAGTCAACACCCTTAAGGGCAAGGTCGACACCATCTCTGCCGCTCTGGAAAAGTACGAAGGAGAGCTGGAGACCATCGGCGAACGCAAGTCGGCAACAGAGGCCAACATCAAAGCCCTGTCCCAAGAAATCGACACGAAGAAGAAGCAGTATCACCAGATGCAGTCTGAACGTATAAGAACAAGTCAGAGACGCACCGAACTGGAGGAGAAGCTTGAGCAAGTCGCCAAGCAGCTTCGAGAGGCCGATGATGGCCGACGACAGAATGACCGCGAAGCTAGGATGAGGGAAATGGTCAATAACCTGAAGCGACTGTATCCCGGTGTTAAGGGCAGGGTTGGTGACTTGTGCAAGCCTAAACAGAAGAAGTACGACGAGGCTGTTAGCACCGCGCTTGGTCGGGACTACGAATCGGTCATCGTGGACACAGAGAGGACCGGTCACGACTGTGTCCAGTACCTCAAGGACCAGCGCTTCCCGCCCATGACCTTCATCCCTCTTGACAACATCAAGGTCAACGCGGTCAATTCGGCCATCAAAGGCATATCCGGAGCGCGCCTAACCATCGACACGATTGATTTTGAGCCTGCGTATGAGCGTGCCATGGCCTATGCATGTGGCAGCTCTGTGGTTTGCGACAGCGAAAAGATCGCCAAACTCATTTCGTATGAGAAGCGCATCCCCGTCAAGACCGTCACTCTGGACGGCCTGGTCATTCACAAGACGGGCATGATGACTGGTGGTCGTGGCCCGGAGCAAAAGGGCGGGAAGCGTCGCTTCGAAAGCACTGACCTTGAACCCCTCAAGAAAATGGCGGCCAAGTACAAGGAAGAGATCGAAAAGCTCCCAAAGTCTGGGCGACGTAGCCCTGCTGAGGAGTCTCTTCAGATTGAAATTCACGGCCTTGAGCCACGCCTGGCGGCCGCCAAGGCCGAACTTGCCCACCTGGAGAAGAACTACAACAGCAAGAAGAGAGAAGTAGATCACGAGAGTAGACAGCTTGACGAGCTGGAACCCAAATACGAGGAGAAGAGAGCCGAGCTCGAGGCAACCAAGCGTACTGTCAAGGAATTCTCTGACGCCATCGCCAAAGTGGAAGACGAAGTCTTTTCTGGTTTCTGCAAGAGACTTGGCTTCGGCGACATCCGAGCCTATGAATCGGAGCACAGAGATCTGCAACGAGAAGCTGATGAGGAACGAACCAAGTTTGAAGTACAAAAGTCCAAGTACCAGAGTCAACTCAGTTGGACGCGCGACATGTATAACAACCTGGACGCAAGGCTGAAGAAACTGCAAGAGGGGTTGAAGGCATCGGAACGAGACCTCCAGACCTATCAGCAGGAAAAGTCAGATATCGAGGATGCTAGCCACGAGGTATCTGATGAGCTCGACGCGCTGCGGGAGACCCTCGAGGAGAAGCGCGCTACGCTAGAGGTGAAGAGCCAGAAGGTCTCACAGGCCAAGGCCGAGGTTCAGAAGCGAAGCAAGGAGATCGACGCCAGACAAAAGGAAATCAACGCTCTGGAAACGGTAGTCCAGAAGAACAGTGCCGGCAAGTTTGCGTTGCTTAGGCGTTGCAAGCTCGAGCAGATGCAGATTCCTTTACAAGAGGGCTCGCTCGACAATCTGCCAAACGAAGATAACCTGCTACGGCAAGACGCCGATGCTATGGATGTGGACGAGGAGGATGACGAGGAAATGATGACCGCCGCCCTCGAGAATCACGGCATCGAGGTCGACTATGACAGTCTGGACGAAGAATTGAAGAATGTACGGGCAACCTGCCATTTGCATATTAAAGCTGTGTTTGCTGACATTTCTCTAGTCGGATGATTCTAGTGTCGAGGAGCGATTGCAAGACAAGATTGCGTCAATCACTTCGGAGCTCGAGAAGCTCAACCCCAACATGAGAGCCATTGAGAGGTTAGAGAGCGTCGAGACGAGACTGAAGAATACCGAAAAGGAGTTTGAGGATTCCAGAGCGGCACTTAAGGCAGCCCGCGATGCGTTCAACCATGTCAAAGCCCAGCGGTACGAACTCTTCAACAAGGCCTTTTCACACATCCAGGAGCAGATCTCGCACGTCTACAAGGACCTTACACGGTCAGAAGCCTATCCCTTGGGAGGGCAAGCTTACCTGGATATTGAAGAAGACACAGACACGCCGTATCTGTCTGGTATCAAGTATCATGCCATGCCGCCCCTCAAGCGATTCAGAGACATGGAGCACCTTTCTGGAGGCGAGAAAACGATGGC